AAGGTCAAGACCGCAGGCTTGCATAAGCCAGACCATTCGCCAATTACAGCATTAGTTGACAAGACCAACTCTGCGAACATGAACGTAAGCACCAGGACTCTTGTCGAGTGCCGTATGAATCCAAGCCAATAACCCTGGGACCACTCGCTGAAAACAGCCGAACGGAAGTTCTTCATTTCCCCGACCTGCCGGGAATGAGGCTCTCCACGAACTGACCCATGTTTAATCCCGACCTGGTTTATGCACAGCCGCGGTCAAATTATATGCGTGCTGTATTGAACCCCATGTGTGCAGTTTCGCACATGCTGGCCAGCACACGAGGCGACTTTGATGCGGCTCTAGATGTGATATTGGCAAACAAATTGATGGCACTTTAGATAACCTTTACATAAAGGTCATCGGTGTGGTGTAACGACTCGGGAGCGCAAGACGTTGCCATCTATACACGACTCGTGAGGTACGAGAGGTACGTAAGGTCCATTAACACGCACTCACCATGTAAAGAGAATTCACGGGTAACAAAAATAGTGTCTACATGAGTGGTTTTAAGATGGGCATAAATCGCTCCAAGATCATGACCGCAGTTACACCGTAGGTGTGAGCCACACTGCTTCCATAGGTGCGTGATCCGCCATTCTTCAGATTGACTTCCGACCGATCTAGAAGAAATCCTAGACATTTTGAACATGATATTGACCCATCTGCAGAAAATATAGATATTTGGTTTTCGGATGCACTTCTCCCATCCCTCGTGTTGTGCAAGTGTTTTTGTTTACTTAAATAACAGGATAAGGCTCGTAATATCATTGCGTATTTTCAGTTGGTCCAAGTGCCTGGTCGGTATGCCGTGCGGTTTTTGAACATAGATAATTGTGTTTTCACCATAAAGGTACCCTTTCCATTTGTTTTCATCCAAGTTGAAGGCTATGCCGTGTTATGGTCCGGGCGATTTGTAGTGGAATTACTAAACAAGAATGGGCACAAACATGATGCCACACATCACGTGTCGCACATGTTCCAAGAGTAACAGCTCACTGAAAACTTGCTTTCATGAAACCCTTCTAACCTGAAGTTCCGTTTTAATCACGGACACTTATTTGACTTTTCTGATATAGCAGAAAAACCCTCGTACACACCTACTTCGACACGCGCTCGGATGTAGGTCAAGTTGCTCATCTCCCCCTGAAGGCTTCGGGAGTGGTTTCCGAAGGTGCAGCGTACCCGCGTCGATTTTGCATCACTGTAGACAACGGAATAGCTGATCGTTTGGTATCAAAGATGCAGGTGTTCGTTGTAAGGTCGCTGGCCTACGACAGGTCAAAGTCAGGACATGGATGCAGCGAGATGGTTTCTAGGCAATCGTTTAACCTGATACAAAAACGGAGTGTTAGACGAAGTCACACGTCTCTAACATAGTTTCAATATAAGTGTCCTAGGGTCAGGGATAAAGGTCAGCCCGAAGTAAAAGCTAGCCTGTTTTTTATTCTAGAACTTGGTATATATGGTAGTGTCTGATGCTCATTTTGGGGTTATTGATCACGGGAACTGCAGTATACAAGTTCCATGGATTCCTTGAAAATCAATACAGGTCACTGACATAAAATGACTAAGGTCAACATTGTGTTTTCGGGAACTTGCTACCTAGCGTAATTCCAGAAGCTTATGCAACTGCTAAAACAATAGTAGCCATGTATGATTTTCGTAACCATGACATCAGACAGGTCAAACATTCATATTCAAACAAACACAAACATATACATCAGAATGTAAGTATGCGCGGCTGCGTTTTATGTCATAGGTGAAATATTTTGACAAAACATAGTTAGTGAAGCGGATATTCAGACATCGTCTTACCACGAGCACGCCGTCTGCAATGCGTAAAATGCTCGCAAATAGAACTTACCTTGCCCTGCTGAGTCTCCAATAGTCGCCGTGGAAGCCCAACTTAGGTAGATGGTTGAAGTTATGCTGACCACATTTTTGATGTGGCGAAACGCGTAATGGTAGGTTCACCTTTCAGGATTTGTTTCCATATATGGCTCGCCAACGAGGGCCCACGTGGACCTATTGAAGACGTATTACCTCCATGGCAACCTTCATGGCGACGCCACCACAAGTATAGATAACCATATCGTCATGATAAAAATATCTTCTGATGGTCACCTCTTTCCGACGCTTTCATCAAATTACAGACCAAAAGATATGGGGACGGCCAAACCAACGTTTCGGGATGGACAACTTAACCTTGCAAGGGTCAACGGCGTCACAAAACATATAAATCTATACCTATGTCTCCATACACCAATAAAAACAAATTTGGTAACAGTTTTACGGGATGGTTGAGACGAAGCTTTAGAATAACCGATGAGAAAATCGTTCCGACTGTCGTCCCCATAATGTGTCAGTACGTAAACAAGGCTTCGGCCGGCTACCTCTTTGGACATCGTCCAGTGTTTTAGAGGCCTCAGAACGACTGGATGGTACTTAACTATCATCAGGTGTGCGTCACAGCCGGGAGCAGATTTTAGGAACACAATTTTCTTCATGCGATTCGCAGGCGTGGTGTGTAGTATTATTATATTACTATAATACACAATGTCGTGTAGGAATTTTATTATGGCTCACCATAGCTCAGAGGCAAGCATCATCCAGTCTGCCTCAAAACCCAGGACACATGACGACGGCTGAAGACATCACGGGCCTAAGCATGGTGTGCATACACCCACACCGGACGGGGACGATAGTCTGAAATATTGTTCCATCCGAAAATGTCCTCTTAAAATCCAGACTTTTGTACAATTCATTGCACGGCCCATATAATTGTCAAATAATCCTGAAATCCTGTCCCATGCGAGGGCGTACCTTAATGCCTCAGCTGCAATTCACATAAAACATGTCATTATTGAATCCCGTGAATACGTCATTTTATCCAAATGTATCGTTATCTCGTGAAAAATAACCATCATTTCCCATAGGTGACTTACTTCAAGGTAAACACTACGTGAGGGTGATGCAGATAATTTAAACAACCCACAGACTTATAACAATGTGGACGTCATTACACCTTCAACTGGGCAGACACTTCGAATGAGATCCTGATACCTTGCCAGCACTTCCAATGGTGTAAGGTTGATAAAAAGCAGATGAGCAGGCGTAAAATGGCTACATCGACTAATGTTTCACATCCCTGTTTGCCATTTAAGGATGCTACGTGGCGAAGTTGGCCAGAGCCATTTGCACGAAAGGTAAATCCCCTAAATCAAGCAGCATTACGTAAGCTCTTCAGTGCATTAGCGGGGAACATTGTCCACATAGACAGTAGTATTAGCCTTATTCATAAGACAAAACCCAGGAGAATGGAGATATAGTTTGGTTGATATTTCGGCAACATGCCTTTATCAAGTCAATAGCAGAAGTGAATTCACTTTTGCTATAGTTTCGGTAAAGGCATATTGCAGAAATATCAACCCAACTATATCTCCAAATTCCTGTTTTTTCCGAGGAATGAAACTGCTTCTACTGTGTTATCTATGAAAACAAGAAGTATGAAGTAACTTGTGATGAGTTATACGGGTATATGCGACACATTGGCATCTTTCCAGGCATTCTCATTTGAAGAAATATGAAGGACTGTACAAGTTAATGCCAACAACTACAACTAGTGCAGTATAAAACTTAATGCATCGGCATTTGTTTCATTTGCGCACTGCAGTGTCAACATAAAATGTCACAATGTGATCTAAACCAGGAATGGAAACTGCTGCACTTACATCTAGATACGGACAACGCCACACATTCTGTCATGAGACCTGGCTCTTCATACCTAGCACGGTCACCACAGTAGTCTCCTATAAAACCGTGCCACTTGCCGTTGACAGAATTAGTCCACAAGACTAACTCTGAAAAAAATGAAGGTCAGTAGCCCCTCTTATTCGCTGCAGGAAGCAGAACGCGTACCTTTGAGTGCCACCTCTCATTCGAACCACAATGCCATGATACCCTTGAATAACTGAGAAATATTTTTAGGCGAAATATTCCTGGAAGGACGCATAAACTACAATCTATAATAATTTGATTCCTGCAGGCGTCTATCGCCGCCGCTCTCCTGGCTGTGGCCGCCGCCGCTCATGCGAACAGCTATGCCCCGAAGCCAGCGTACTCCCATGGCCCGAGCTACCACCAGCCGTCATACAGTGAGACGGACCACTACGACACGCCTTACCAGTTCGATTATGCCATCAACGACTACTACTCCGGTGCTGTGTTCTCTCAGAACGAGAACAGCGACACCAAGAATGTCAACGGCTACTACTCGGTCAACCTGCCCGATAGGAGGAGCACAAGCACAAGGAGCACAAGCCTGGCTACCACCCGGCAGCGGCCTACAAGCCCGCTCGCACTTATGCCCAGGCCCCGGCCTACATGCCCGCTCGCTCTTATGCCCCGGCCTCGGCCTACAAGCCTGCTCGCTCGTATGCCCATGCCCCGGCCTACAAGCCTGCTCGCTCTTATGCCGCTACGCCGGCATACAAGACCAAGTACTAAAGACCTAGTGTTTCCTGCTGTGTGACAACCTATTTGTAATGTAAAGCCGATTTGCTCTTTGGTGTCTTGTATCAAGCACTGTGTCTTGTACTAGTGTATTGAAGGATCTCTCTGTAAAAATGGAATTATCTCGTATAACCGACCCATGCACTGCCTTAACGAAGGTGCTTTACTTCACATACAGTTAGTTTAGCTTCCAGAAATAAAGTGAAGAGCCATATGTTGATTAGGCTTACAGAAGAGCATATCACCAATAGTTTTCAGGAAGTCGAACATGCTTCAGGAGTAAACGTTGATAAGAAAAAGCTTTTGACACTGTTGATATTGACTTACTTCCTGACGTTTTTTCAGAATGATGGCATCATCCATACATTTATTAAGATACCCAAGTCAAATTTAATAGATGTACCTTGCAAGGTCGCTGCCCTATCCCTTTTGAGCCTGTGATAGGTAGTGTGTCGCGGGTTCCATGGCGGTGATGACCATATCTTGCTGTTGTTAGGAGAGGTGTTCAGATTTAAGTGTTCCGGTTCTGCCCCAATCCACTCATCATATTATGAGTATGAGTATTATACTGCTTAATGTCTATAATCGAAAATAAACGACAATCAATTCAAAAAGACAAATATCGAAGGCAAAAATCCCGACATTGCAAAGAAATTGAAGCAATCAATG